TGATAGGTCTACCAGAGCACACAACAAATACAGGCCAACAGTGTTCCCCCTATCGGAGAACAAAGTGGTCCCGAGACGGAACATCAAAAACCCTCGAGCGTACTGCTCTATCTCCTCGAGAGTCTCAGGCACAGTCTCTTTGAAATGTGTGGAAAACCAAGTGTACCTGACTCTGCCCGATGATTTGTCAATCGGCGGATGGGCTCCTAACAGATAAATCCAAGCCGCCTCCCACTCGCCCATGTCTGTGTCGTAGGGAACCGGTCGGCCGGCCACGTCAAGACCAGTCAACAGGGCAAAGTCAAACGGGGTCATCGTCATATCCCCGGTAGCCGAAAAGTGGAAAGAGTTGGTGGTGTCCTACCATCTCTCCACGAGTGCCCCCATCAGCGTCCTGCTCACAGGGTAGCGAGATATCCCCGCGCAGAAGAGTCCGAACCCTGCCTCATCAACCAGATCACGAACGGTCTCTGGGAGCATTGCGTACCACTCCCTAGCGATGATCGAGCCATAGCCCCGTGTAACACGGGAAGATACCTGCATTCAGAATGAACAGATGTATTCAGTTTCAAAATGAAAGTACGAGCTGTGTGCAAATCAAATCAGATACAATGTTGTGGACTGCGTGTTCAGTATGAGCTGTGTGCAAATACAATGAGTGAGCTGTGTGTTCACCAGTGAAAATGTATCAGCTGCGTGCAAACACAAGGAATGAGTTGTGTGTTCAGAATTGAAGCATGTGAGCTGCGTGTTCAACATAAAGTATATGAGCCGCGTGCAAGTGAAATGCGTAGGCTGTGTGTTCATCATCAAAAGTTTGGGCTGTGTGTTCGACTTTCAAAAACTGTGGGCTGTGTGTTCACGTCAAGAGTTTGGGCTATGTGTTCAACTTTCAAAAATCGTGGGCTGTGTGTTCACCTCAAAAGTTTGGGCTATGTGTTCGAATTTCAAAAATTGTGGGCGGTGTGTTCACCTCAAGAGTTTAGACTGTGTGTTCGACTTTCAAAAACTGTGGGCTGTGTGTTCACCTCAGGAGTTTGGGATGCGTGTTCATATTTCAGAAAACTATGGGCTGTGTGTTCACCTCAAGAGTTTGGGCTGTGTGTTCAACTTTCAAAAACCGTGGGCTATGTGTTCACCTCAAGAGTTTGGGCTGTGTGTTCGACTTGCAAAAACTATGGGCTGTGTGTTCACCTCAAGAGTTTGGGCTGTGTGTTCAACTTTCAAAAACCGTGGGCTGTGTATTCACCTCAAGAGTTTGGATTGTGTGTTCAACTCTCAAAAACTGTGGGCTGCGTGTTCACCATCAAGAGTTTGGGCTGCGCGTTCAACTTTCAAAAACTATGGGCTGCGTGTTCACGATAAAAGTATGAGCTGCGTGTTCAGAAGTTCGAGTGATTGAGTTGTGTGTTCAAAATGCAAACAAAATTCTATGCTATGGACTAAGTGTTCAGAACAAGCTGTGTGCCAACTTAACAGAATTTTGTGCTGTGAGATGTGTGCTAAAATAAGCAGAAGTATGATGCGCAAATATGTTCTGAATGACCGGATAAGCATACATGGCGAAAACAGGAAATGCGAAAAAAAAAATGCAGATTACATTACAGAGAATGTAAAAATGAAGTACGTACCTCTCGTGCCTGGTGAGAGAGGTGAGACTCCGGCTCCCGTAGTAGTAGATTCGCGGGCGTTTGTCAATCAAAATCAGTAAAGTGGTAGAAAGTACTCGGGGGAAGGATGTGCTCCGGAGGGTTGTACCTCTCGGGATCAAAGGGTCGAACTCTCGAGGGCAATGACATGATGTCCGGCTCACCTTCGGTGCCTGGAGGACCTCCACCATGAGGGAAATGACCCGACATTTCAAGAAATCTGCAAAAATGAGCAAAATTAGCCAAAATTGGAAAAAGTCAACAAAAGTCAACTCTTGGGAAATGAAAAAGTCAACAAAAGTCAACTCCTGAGAAAATGTTCCAAATATCGAGACAAACTTACCTCAAGTGGTGAAAGTGAAGAAAGAAGCTCCGAAATCAAATTTTAATCGGTCCAAAATGAAGAAAACTAAAAGATTTTGCGAAATAACTTTGCGTGGGGCGTTGGAAAACACGTATAGAGCGCAGTTCTGAGAGAGCAAATGGTCCAGAAAGCAAGAGGGACTAATTTCGGACTTGAGGTTGTGAGCAAAAGTGTTTTGACCAAGTGTATTTAAAGATCCGAATGTAAAAGGACCAAACTGTCCCTGTTTTAGCAAAGTGGTCGATCGACCACCTTTTCTAGTAGGCCGACCACCCCTTGAACAAGCTCTGGTCGGTGGCACTCTAGGGTGGTCGGCCATCCTTCCTAGGTGATCTCCAATGTCTCTCTGAACTCCCTGCAAATTTTGGTGGTGATCGGAGTCCCCGGCACTCGAGAAAGTACAAGGAAAGTGCACTTTTCGGCGCGAAATCCCTCCACGAGAACTTCAAATCCAATCTTCGATGCGCGGCTCGTTGTTGCTCGCCAAAAGCAAGGTGTATCCTTTTTGAGTACGTTGCGACCCCTCTGAGAGGTAAACTGGAGGTCGTGTTTAAGTTCCCCTCGTCGAGGCTTACATTTCTTTGCTCGATGTTTTGTTTCAAATATGCTTTTAAAGTCGCACTTATCCTGCATTGTTATGCACGTCACTTGCATTGTTATGTACGCTTCATTGGCATTAGCGCGCCCTCCATGCTTAATTTGCGTTGTCGCACACGTTTCTTCTTGCATTGCGATGCACCTCTTCATCGGAACCATGTTTGTTTGCGTTCGATATAGCGTTGAACATATGTTGTGCCTGTTAAGTTTCTCTCTTTTGTAGGCACGATATTGTATGTACGGTTCATTTGAAGCTAGTGCGACCAGACGAACCAAGCAAGTATTGTATCTTCTCCGTGTGAGATGTAGCGAGAATTGTAATTCTCTTACATCCTTACTGCATGAAATGTAGTTTTGCTTTGCATTCTTACTTAAAACTGTTGCATTTATTGTGAATATTTGCTTCGTTACAGTTTGCTGCTTTGCATGATCATGAGTTATGTTCGGCTTTGTGCATGTCGGTTGCATTTTTCCCCTGCCTGCTGGCACGCCTGCGGGCCCATCTCTTGTTTATCTCGCCTGTTTGTCTAAGTCATCGGCCTTGTCAAAAATGGGTCGTCTCTGGGCTTTTACATTCACTCCCGTCACTTATGACTTCCGAGTTCTGTCAAAGAGAGGCAACTGTAGACACCGTATTTTTGACCGACCTTAAGACTCAGACGTCATCAATTGAGCGCTCGGTGATTGCGCATGTTGTGCTCGTTCTGAGGTTACGGAGTCTCGGCTGAGAGCCTTGCCTCCGGACTTCGGGACTCTTTTGTGCTTTGCCTCGATTTGCGAACCAGGTTCTGTTTTCTCTTCCTGAAGGGAGGGAGAGGTCTTGTAGACCATCTCTCAGTGGTCGTAGGCTACTTTTCGTGGTCGTAGACCACTATTCCCGTTTGGAGACCAATTTTCGATTTTCGGAGCCATCGGTCGTGCGCCTCGGTTCGGGACAGCTTAACTTTCTCCGTTTGCTCCGATTTTCGGCACACACCTTGTTTCCTCTCTCTAGAGGGACACTGTGGCCCGGGAGACCACCTTCGTGGTCGCACACCATTTTCGATACTTAACAGTCAGTTTTCGGGGCACCCGGCTGCGCATTTTGGCCCCCGAACCCTCATTTTGCATCCATCTTGGTTCATTTTTGGCATGGACCCTATTTTCATTGTTTGGAAGGTGGTACAAGGGTGGAAGACCACCTACTCATGAACCAAATCCATTTATTTATAACAAAAGGGAGTTTTATAATAAAATGGGTTAATTACAACAAGACTCCATCAACTGTTAACAAATATTACTTTATCTTCCCTCATCAATGAATTCGTACATATTGATTATAACACTCCATATTTCTTGGACTAGTGGGATTTCTTTTGGCACTCTTTATCATTTTAGAATATTGATTGAGGTGATATCATAATGGTGAAATAGGATTGAACCAAAAACATTGATTTAGATAATTATCCTATGAGCAGTCTTAACTCTTGTACCTTCTTCCCTTTCCACACTTTGAATCTGGATGTGATGCTAGAACCATTAGAAATCTTGTTTTTGGGGCTTCGATTTGGACACAAGAACAACCTAAAACAGAGTCCGAACAAGGGAGTTATCCTCGTTTAAAATTTGAGTACCTGTGTTGGAAGCAAGTTCACTCGATCAAACTTTTGACCGCTCAAGCGGTCTGAACGAATTTCAAAGATTTTGGGGGCTTTCTTTCACCGCTCGAGCTAGGCTTTGACTGGCTCGAACGGTCTGTTCAACATCTAGCACTTTCAATACAACAAAATTGAATTTTTACGGCTTGCGATGCATGCCATAAAAACTCTTTCATAGCATGCATACAAATGTCGTTATATGACATGCCGTGAAAAGTTAATTGTCATTTACGCCATACAGGTAAAGTTATAAAAAGTAATAAATTAATTCTTAATAACATACTTTTTATGTTGTATAAATTTTTTTTACGACATTTGTTTCATGCCATAAATCATTATACTTTTAATGACATAATTTTGCATGCCGTATAATGTTGTTTTTAATATATTTATGACATACTATGTATGTTGTATATAATCTTTTACGACATTTTCTTGCATGTCATAAATTATTACACTTTTCATGACATAATTTTGTATGCCGTAGAAGGTTATTTTTAATATATTTCTGATATACTTTGTATGCCGTATATAATCTTTTACGACATTTTCTTGCATGTCATAAATCATTACATTTTTCACGACATAATTTTATATGCCGTAGAAGGTTATTTTTAACATATAATATTATATATATATATATATATAAAGAGAGAGAGAGAGAGAGAGAGAGAGAGAGAGGAAAAGCAAATTCAATGTTCATTACATGAATAAACTCTATTTATGAACACATAATATCACTAAAATGTCCACTTTTAGTACTTGAAAAGCAAATTACAAGATCAAATAAATTATGTGTACAAATGAAAACAAAAAGATTACACACAATACAAGCCAGTCAAGTTTAATTCATTATTAGGAATAGTAGAGAGAGCTAAAGAATCCATTAACTTGGCCACTACAGAAAGTCCCTGCCCCAATACCAATGGTAGGGATTCGAAGAGCAGATGTTGTAACAATAGCAGCAGTAATAGGAGCACACATTTCATAACAACAGAAAAGCACCCAGTTTCCTACAAAGCCAGGACAAACTCAACAACCTGCAAAAACCAAGCAAATTTAGCATCACAATGCTAAAATAAATTATGCAGATTTGCGTGTGAGCATAGTTGATTTTATATGAAACATAATAGACTTGATTCTTTTATGCCTATGTAACATGATAAAACATAGCTCATTAAACTCTAGCAGTATCCATCATATGGACTCTGCAGTTATGCAAGTAATAGCAATGAGGTCCACCAATGCCCTAAATACATGCCAAACTAGAATTCCACCAAAAAAAAGAAAAGAAACAACCATACACTACAAGAAAAGTGGGTTTATGAGACGGAACTATTTGCGACGGCACACTTGCCGTCTCAAAAAGTCACTTTTTGCGACGGCAGGAAATGCCGTCTCAAAAAAGCAGTGTATTTGCGACGGCACCATTTGCCGTCTCAAAAAAGAAGAGCATTTGCGACGGCACTATTTGCCGTCTCAAAAAATGAGAGTATTTGTGACGGCATGTGCCGTCTCAAAATGCTCTTCTTTTTTGAGACGGCATTTCCTGCCGTCGCAAAAAGTAACTTTCGTGTTTTTTTTTTGTTTTTAGTGAATATTTTTAAAATTTTAAATATTTTTTTAAAATGCACCTTACTTAAATGTATCTAAAAAATAAAAAAATTATGAAAAAATATTTTTAAAAATTAATAAATACATAAAAATACAAAAAAAAATGTATTGAATTATTGTTTTTTTTTTTGTATTTTTGGTATTTAGTGAATTTTTAAAAGATTTTTTTTTACAACTTTTTTAATTTTTAGGTGTATTTATGTTAGATGTGTCTAAAAATTTTTAAAAAAAATACTTAAAATATTAAAAAAATTAAATAAAAACAATATAACACGGAAAACAATAAAGTATAATTTTCTCACAAAGAGTTTTTTGAAAACTCTAACCTAGCATAGCGATTGTGGTTTTGAGATAGCTTCATATATATATACAGTCACAAAATGGTTTGAATAAATTCAACGGTATTTTTCTGTAGCAAAAAAAAATTAAAAAAACAATGTCGTCTTACTCTTTTGATATAACATTTCTCTTTTCATTCATTTTTTCATCTTCCTGTCTCTCTATCTCTATCTCTCCATCTTCTCTTTATCTCTTTCACTCATCACTCTTCTTTCTCTGCCTGTCTGTTTCTCTCTCTCTTATTTTCTCTCTGTGTCTCTCGCCTATCTCTCTTCTCTCTATCTCTCTCATCTGTTTTCTCTCTCGCTCATCTCTCTTCTCTCTATCTTTCTCATTTATTTTTTCTCTCTCTCTCTTATCTTTCTACTTCTCTCTATCTCTCTCGCCCATTTCTTTTCTCTCTTGTCTCTCTCTTTTTCTGTGTCTCTCTCTTGCTCATCTCTTTGCGCTCTATTTCTCTCTTTTTTTGTTTATCTCTCGCTTATCTCTTGTTTCTCTCTCTTTTTCTATGTCTCCATCTATCTCTCTCTCTCTTTCTCTCTCTATCTCTTTTTCTGTCTATCTCTCTCTCTCTCCCTGTTTCTCTCTCACTCATCACTCTTTTCTCTCTCTCTATCTGTCTATTTGTCTATTTATCCCTCACCATGTTCGCCTTGCTCACTCTCTTACTCCCATCTTCTCTATTTATCGAGCTCTTTCTCAATTTATCGATTTACTATAAAAAAATACACTTTTAGCAACCACTTTGTCTCTCTCTCACGCTCATCACTCTATCTCTGTCTCTCTCTTTATCTCTTTTCTTTATCTGTCTCTCACAAAATTAAAATATTTTTAAAATATTTAAAAAATTGATTTGAATTAAGCTTTGAAAAGAGTTTTGAATTATGTGTTTGGTTATGAGTTTCGAAGAGTAATGATTATATTTTGAATTGAGTTTTGAAAAATTGATGTAGAATTATGATTTGAAAGCTCAAAACAAACACCATACTTAAATCAATGGGTGGAACTATGACCACTACCATTACCACTCTCTCTGTCTTTTTTTTTCTATGTCTCTCTCGTTAATCTCTTTTCACTTTCTTTCTCTATCTTTTAGTTTATCTCTTACTCATTTCTTGTTTCTCTCTCTTTTTCTGTCTATCTCTCTCTCTCTCTATCTTTCTCTTTCTCTCTCCGTCTCTCTCTCTCTCTCACTCATCACTCTTCTCTCTCTCTGTCTTCCTATGTGTCTGTCTGTTTATCTCTCTCCCCCACTGTGTTCGCCTTGCTCACTCTTCTCATTATCTCTTCTTTATTTATTGAGCTCCCTTTCGATTTTCGATCCACTACAAGAAAATGCACTTTTAGCGACCACTTTGTCTCTTTATCGCTCATCACTCTATCTCTTTCTCTGTCTCTCTATCTCTTTTCTCTATTCGTCTCTCACTCATCTCTCTCTCTCACCACCCATCTTCTCTACCACATTTACCACTACTGCAAATGCCATTCAACTACCACCATTCTTCTCTTTCTCTCTTTCTCTTTTTCACTCATTACTCTTTTTTCTTTGTCTGTTTGTCTATCTGTCTGTGTGTCTTTCGTTCATCTTTTTTCTTTTTATCTCTCTCATTTGTCTTCTCTCTTTGTCTTTCTCGCTCATCTCTCTTCTCTCTATCTCTCTCATCTCTTTTCTTTCTCTGTCTCTCTCGCTCATATCTCTTTTTTCTCTCTCTTTGTCTCTCTCTCTCTCGCTCATCTCTCTTCTCTCTATCTCTTTATTTTTCTATTCTCTCTCTCGTTCATCTTTTTTCGCTCTCTTTCTCTCTCTTTTTGTATCGCTCATCTCCTGCTTCTATCTTTTTTTTCTGTCTCTCTCTCTCTATCTCTTTCTCTCTTTGTCTGTTTGTTTCTCTCTCTCTCTCCGTCTCTCTCTCACTCACTCATCACTATTAATAGAAAATATTTTTCATTAAAATATTATCCTTACTTCTACCAAATAAATAATAATAATAATAATAATTTTTCATTCATTAAATATTCATTTATAATAAAAATGAAAATTATTATTATTTTTTTATTATTTAAATATTCATTTATGTTGAAAATTATTATTATTATTATTATTTTTTTCCCCAATCCCGCCCGCTCGGTTCCCCCATTTTGTCCCATTCCCGCGCCCCTCAAAATCCCCAATCTCTTAGCACCAAATTCCCTAATTTCTACCAAGATGAAAAAACCCTAATCGTCTCCTCACTCTCCCATTCTCATCTCAAGTTCAACTCATCACTGTCTCTCTCTCTCTCCCACTCTCTCGTTTCGTTGTTCTTCATATCTGCACCGATCACTCTCTGACTCTCTCGTTGTTCATCTCATCGCACCGATCATCGCACCGCCGATCTACTCACAGGTAAACTCTCTCTCTCAATCTCTGTCTCTTTCTCTCTCTCGCCCCGATCGTTGTTTTTTTTTTTGTTTTATATATATATATATATATCAGATATCTATCTGATCTGATCTCTTTCTCTCACTCTCTCATCTCATCAGTCTCACTTTCTGGTTTTGCATCTCTGTACCGATCGACTCACAGGTAAGCCTCTCTCTCTCTCTCTCCCTGATCTCTCATCTCTGCACCGATCGAACAGATCTTTTTGTTTGTTTGTTTTGGACCAACAGATCTGTTCTGTTTGTTTTGGAATCTGTGGGTTTGTTTTGGACCAACTTCTCTTTTACTACAATTTTAGGCTGATTCAGTATCATCAACACGACAATCGACTGCTCAACCTCCACAGAATGAGGTATCTTCTTCACAACTTTCTCTACTACTTTTTTTTTTTGGAGGGGGTCTCATTTCAGTGCTGGCTGTTACATTCATGGTTGTTAGAATCATCCGATTTGATTCATATAATTTGATACGAGTTTCAACAAAATACGGTTTGAATTGTTCTCTTGAATCAAAAAAAGATTGAATCGTGGGATTCAATTCTATTTCTATTTCTATTTTTTTGTTCTCTTGAATCAAAACTGTAAATTGTAATTATATTTAGTAATTATAGTTTCAAGATTTAAGGTTCTAATAAATTGTAAGAAAAGGGTAGTAGGTATGTAGATCAAATATGACTGAAATTGGCTTGACTTTGAAACTATCAGGTTGCTGGACTTCAGAGAAAACATAGCTGGAATTCTTTGACAGTAGCTCTTCTTTTGGTTTGTAGAATTGAAGTAGATGACAATTGGTATGGGAATGGATTAAGAAACATTTTGTCTCTATTTATGCAGAGACTGTTTTTTGATCGTGGTCAGTTCGTAAATTGGGGTGTCAGACCTCCCTAAACCTTTAATCTTGTGATATAGGCTTATGTATCTAGAAATTGGGTATGGATACGTAGAGTTGTGGACACTCCCTGAACATTTAAATATATTGTCTATTGTATGATATTATGACATAAGATGATGTTATTATTTGGAAATATAGTTGAAATAAAATGTGATTTAGGGGAAAAAGGAGATACCTATCCCCCATTCATGTGAGGCTAAAAATTTTTCTTTACTATCAAATGTGAGCTTCTGTTCTGTACATTGTTAATTATTAGAGGATCCAAGTGTCTAAATTTGAGTACAAAGGTTGGACGCATATACCATGCAACGGTGTTGGACCTTAACGGATTCTTCATAATTATTGGACCTATTATACTCTTCCAAAGACTATTATATTTGTTTATCCATTCAATAGCTGTGGCACCACCTAACCTATTACAAAATTATAAAAATCATCTTTTTCCAAGTGCTTAGCATGAAAATTAATGGTATAACTTTCTTAATAAGGGATTGAAGTAGTACCTGATTGCTCAGTTATTACTAACTACTTTGCTCACAAATCAAAAGCAACTTGGACTTGCAATTTCTTATAATAGTTTCATATATTGTACTATGAAAGTAAACTTCATGGTCTACCATGTTAATTTCTTGGTACATCATTCATTTTCTTAAAATCATACCTCAAGATTATCACCAGGTTCAATTAAAGCCTTCAGGACACAGTTCTCACCATAGAAATTTGGGGCTTTATAGCAAAACTATTTTACTCATCTAAAACTTTTCATTGTTGTTAAAATGATGTGGACTTTTAACTAAGTCTTCTCCTTGGGTAGATTCAGCACTTGGATTGCACGGCTCAAACCCCCTCATACACAAACGGAAAAAGTTCTAACAAAATCAACAGCAAAACCAAATTTCTTTTCTTTTCTTATTTTTTTTTTGCAAAATAATCGCACTATATGAAAACATGTTTTTAGTTATATATGAAAACATCTCTGACCTTGTTTTCTTATGTATTTACTTTAGCCCATTAATTTCTCTCTCTCTCTCTCCCCATCTGTGTGACATTCATTTCATGTGTAATTTGTGGCATTTCACAATTCCATGTTGCTTGCATACGTTTCTTATATAAGCATAGTTGATGTTGAAATCAAAATAAACATGTTTACATGGGATGTGTCCTAACAGATTCATTTTGGGCGAAATTAAAGATGGCTGCAGAAAAGAAGGTAAGAATGCTTGTGGTGGTCATACTTTATGAACATAATAAATATACTCACAGCACAGTAATTAATTTTAATGTGTGATCACTGTGTGCATGGAAATTATAAATAGCAATCTTTTTTTTTTGCTTTGAAGTTAACTCTCCTTGACAACCACATTTCATTATACTTTTAGTGTGGAACACAAGCATTCTATATGAAATTTGTATTCTTATCTCAGGAGAGCTAGCATATAATTTTTCGATGATACTATTATTGCTTCAATTTTCCGGTTAGAGTTTCCATTTCATATTTTTCATCTCTTTGGAGATATGTTTACTCATAAAATCGTAATAGCATATTTAATATTCATAATGAATATCAAATAAGACAATCAACCAACATAGCTAAATTATAATGATTGTTTTCGATGTATGGGTTGATTATTCGTAATGACAGTGAATATATACTGGCCATATAGATATAGCATCTATACGAAACATCCTTTTAGTTGGGTCTTTTTTTTATTTAATTTATCTACATGACAGATTATTCTATTTGATATCATGTTAGGTAGTCAGAAAACATTTGTAAAGAACTTAATTAAGGGTTTATGTTTTTAGATAGTTTGTTTTAAATTGTTTCGGGACGCTCTAGTCTTGCAATGAGGCATACTTAAAAGTTTCAAAGAGTTTGTGAAAAATGCTAGAGTAGTTTGCTATTTTTCTTAAGTTGTTTGTAAACATGTAGCTCTCATTTAAGGCCCTGTTGTCCCTCCTCAATGTTACTTTCCACAGTCTTATATTTCCTATTCTGTGTTAATTTCTAAGCATTGTTTGACAAGTTTGCATAAATGACCAAAATGTTATTTTTTATGTAGTCCATATGATCTCAGTTTTCATTTTCACACCCTTCTTTGCCTTTCACTGATGAAACAACCTTTTTTTTTATATTATTTTTTTTACTTTTCACTTGCAATTAATACAGGGAAATATTTTTTATCGATTTCCATCACTACAACGTACAGCTTCTCCTCAGAGGAGTGGAAGGAAGGAATATCTTTTCAGGTATCAAACTCTGAATTTATTGTTCTACATTTCAATTTTTCACATATTACCATATGTATATTTATATGTTCTTCATGTTGATTGTGTTGAATTTTTTTGTAAGCTTGTCTTAAGTAGATATCCTGATTATGGAGGTGTTTCTTAGCTTATTTATTAAATATAACAATTTTCAAAATCGCTGCCAAGTAAAAGTGACAATTCCCAGCATTTTACTATTTCAGAAAATTTAAACAACCTTTATCAATAGTCACAGCTTATTTCATTATCACCTTCAGGTAAGCATCTTTTAAACAAGTTTAACCCCAAATGGACCTTAGTTTCATGAATGCATAATTTGCTGCTGAATAAGTCTTGTTTGGATCAGATTTATTTATTTGTTTCTTTGTTTTTTTTTTTTAAAGATGTCGAAGAACTCAGTGAGGAGGTAATTTAATTTCATTGCTGTTCTTTTCAAATTGTTCTTTTCAGAGGCATACAGTTCTCAAGTAGCAAGCTTAAATTCTTAATAATAAGTCTTATTTTTTTCATTCTTGACTTAAATGACTATAATGTCTGATATTTTTCACTAGCAAGCTTAAATTCTTAATAATGATTATTGGAGAATTTTGGTGAAAGTAAAATCATCAAAAGTTTTTGACTATTGATCTTTCTCCTCTATAATTGGAGCATTTACATTCTCAAGTAGGAAGGTATTTCAAATAACCTACTCTGATTCTGTTTTGAATTGTCATTTTATATTTTGCATTATATTTAAATGTATTAGAAATGTGTTTCCATTTTACTTTGTCCAACTTTTATGCATATTTGCTGTTCAGCTGCTTCAACAGCAGAGAATTAAGGATCCATGGATACCAATATCTGGCAGCTATATGGAACTCTTATTGATGTACTAGTCATTTGGGTCCTTTTGTACTTGAGAAATTTCCAAGAAAGATGTATTTAGCAACTACATATTTTTTTTTCTTCTTTATTTCAAATTGCTGATAGAAAATCCAGTTCGAAGATTAGGTGCAACAGGGGCCAGAGAGGTAAAAGCAATTTTCTACATTTAATCGAGGCTTATTTGCAAGTGATGATGGCAATAGAAACTCCGCAAGGCTGTAAGTTAATTTTTGCAGGTAAAGCAACATTTTTTCTTTAAGGATATCAAGTGGGACACGCTTGCAAGGCAGAAGGTCCTTTGTTTGAATCTTCTTCTTCTTTTTTGTTTTTTTAACAGAAAGCAATCAATTGTTAATGAATTTGCAAACTCACCAATGTTCACTTGTTATGTGCAGGCCATGTTTATACCTTCAGCTGAAGCACTTGACACTAGTTATTTTATGAGCCGCTACGTTCGGAACCCGAAAGATGAAAATGTTGGTGGTGACAGTGACTTCGATGACATGACTGAAACATGTAGTATTTATTATTTTAAATAAAATGTATTAGGTGCCTTACATCACTACTGCCACTATCATGCTTCTCTGATAACGTTCAGAACCCGGAAGATGAAAATGTTGCTACAACTATCATGCTTCTCTGTTAAATTTTTCAATTCTGTTTCTTTATTAGGTGCCTTACATCACTACTGCTTTGATGGATGCGAAGCTAGGCACGGAAGGGCGCAAGGATCTTTTTGATTGGCTATCAAGGCAACTTAATGTATTGTGTCGAATATGAATTGAAAACTTAGAATAGTTGTATTGTGTCGAATGTTAATGAATTATGTATTGTGTCGAATGTTAATGATTCAGTTAATTTGAATGATGATTTAAAATTATAGGTTTATTATGGATTGAATGCATTATTAGGAATTACAGGTGTATTGTTTTCCTGCTTTGGCGACCAATTTATTAGTCGCGACATCAAAAATAATTTTTTTTCGCAGAAAATGACAATTGCCGACCAAGAGTTTTGGTCGCAAAAAATATATCTATTGCCGACCAAAACAAAAGAAAAGGAAAAAAAAAATGTTTCAGCAACCAACACTGGCTGCAAATAAAACATAGCTCATTAAACTCTAGCAGCATCCATCATATGGACTCTGCAGTTATGCAAGTAGTAGCAATGAGGTCCACCAATGCCCTAAATACATGCCAAACTAGACTTCCACCAAAAAAAAGAAAAGAAACAACCATATATTTTGATGGAGTATATAGGACAAACTAGCATTCAAGTGCAAACCAATTCTAGGTATCATAGGTGATGAATAACCTTTTTCAGGCTTAGGGGAAACCATTTGCACTTCATTTAAGGCAAAGTTACACTCAGTTTGTAATGAGATTGAAGGGCCACAATTATAATTGTACATTGATCTCCTTTTATTCACTCCTCACATCTCAAAAACTAGTCTTTGTATACTACGCTGCTATGGGAAACTAGGCTAAACACAACAAAAAGAGGAGTGGCATGCTAGTAATTATGTATTTATGTCTTTAAAAAAGAATAACACAATTGCTACCACAATGGATGTATATTGAATAATAAAAGTTAGGATAATTTGCACGCAAGAAAGCACAAAAACACACACACAAACAATTATGATCAACATGGTAGACACAAATGAACTAAAGTATACTATAGCGGAGGAGCTTCATGTAGTGTTTAACAAATATACTTGAAGATAAAAGACTCTTTGGCTTTTTAAGCTTTCAAATCATTAGTATTGGTTGGTGGAGTTCTTATGTGCCGCATTCAAAACCATGAAATCATGTAAAAGGTGACCAAGAGCTTGTGTCCCTAACTAACCTTGACTTGAAATTAAACATGAAGTAAGCAGCCGTTGAAGTTTTATTTGTGGTGTCAAGAATCTATTTCATATCTAAATAACTCAACAGAAATTATTCATGTTTCGGTATCCCAAAGTGCTTGTGGCTTAGAAACTCTTCTTAAAAGTGCATATATGGATCCAAATCAATATTGAAGTTTTAGCCTCTCCAGTTTAGGTTCATAGAATTGACCGCTTTGTATCCTTTTAATTCTACCAGTATATTCTACTTCCTCGTGCTCTTATTGGAACCTCAACTCATTGCCCTTATTCTAGACGAGGAAAAGTTTTGTAATATATTCCTTTTCTGAGAGAGAAGATGAAATATATATTCTTCAGAATTACATTCTCATTTCAGTATCGAAAAAATTAAATGTACAAGACATGTCCATTAAATGTCTTCTATTTGTCTATGTATTCAAATTTTAAGTTCATGGACACATTTCTCAGACATGATTTACATGTCTGGCATGTTGGAGGATCCTCATGTATGATACTATGCACATCAAAACACATTCATCTTTTAGAAGTGGTCATGGAATGCAAATATCATCTACCTGCATTAAATAGTGCACGATGAATTTTCATGAACAGATGAAAATTCTGAAACAAGAATTGAAGAATAATCAAACAAACTCAAAGATTCATGCGATATTCATGAGGCAAAAGTTCCTACAGTTCAAGAGAAAAAGTGATCTTAATACTTTACTTTGCAGCCAGAATGAATGCACTTATCCTCGTCATCATTCACTTCAGGATTTGAGGCATTTAGAAGAGTGCTAGAAAAACTTCTTGGAGCTTGATTTGTTTCCTTCAGCTTTGCAGCTTCTCCTGATAAGGATACATGTGATTCCATGTCCCGCTCTTTGCAAGAACCCACAGCATGTGTTTTCTGCAAACTACCATTGTCATCTTGTGGGAGCTCTAGAACAGTTGAGGCACAAGAAGTTGTCTCAAATTTAGTGTTTTGCCAACCTGCCCATCAGAAGTCTCCTAATGATGAACGAATCAAAGATTAACAGATCAGCGGCATCTGAAACCAGTTTCTCCCAATCACATCCCAATTTTCTTTGTTTTACTCAATTTGACCAATCTTTCCCAATTTTATTTCACTTTCAATTGAACAGAATCTCCCTTTCGAGCCATCTGTAGCAAATTTATTAAGTGATGCTGGTGTGCTAGCCATCTCAACAGCATGTGAATGAGGATTATTTATATGGCATCAAAAGAGAAAAAATCATCTTGAGCAATGAAAGCCAATTTTTCACAAACACCGACATAAAAGATCATCAAAATTATCTGCTATGCATCTTTAACTCATGTCCCAAGTTTTTTGGGTGCCCATCCCTTCTATTTCAAATTTTGAGGTTAACCACATTTGGTTTCAAAGGAAAATGCCCATTCTTGTCCTATCAATTAAAAAAAAAAAAATTCCTTCCCCAAACCAGTCTGAATGATGAATTAAGACAATTTAACCAATTCAGATATCATTTTCCCACATCATGCAAATCAACCAAAATAAACAAACACTGGCAAAAAGAAAGGTACAGGGTAATTTTCAAATATCACTAAAGTTTGAACTTTCAGTTTCTCATACAATGGGCAAAAAGTGGATGCTAAGCAAGACAAGTGGAAACCAATTTGATATAGTATATAGGACAAATCTCAACAATAATAGACTCTGCAAGTGTTGCACATAGAATATATCTATACGGCATTAAGCTAACCAATTTGAGCTAAACCAGCTGAATCTAATGAATACTATGAAGAAACCCCTCATGAGAACAATCTAGACCCTGCAGTAATCAACTACATGTACAAGACATAAAACCAAAGCAACTGATTTCCAAAAAAAAATAAAAATTGAATCAACTGCCAATTGGCCCAATTCAAAACACAAAGAAAGTGGATTATTTTCATCAAAATCCAAAATCCAAGAACAGAGACATCTCCAATGAATGAATAGTATACAACAAGAACATGAAATTATACACTCTGTAAGTGTCACAGATTGAATTTACCTAAACCATCCCAATCTAACAGATACTGCAAAGAAGCCCCTTATGTTAACAATCTAAGCCATAACATAACACCAAAGCCACTGATTTTTTTAACAAAAACGACAACTGATTCAACCAAAAATTGGTCCAATTCAAAACACAAAGAAAGTGGATTAATTTCATCAAAACCCAAAAACCCAAAACAGAAAAATTTTCAATGAATCAATAGTATGCAACAAGAACATGAAATTATACACTCTGCAAGTGCCAAAGATTGAATTTATCCATAGTATGCAACAACAAGAAACAATGCCAAAATAAGATTCATTCAAATTATTAAATCAACTTCCAAATGGGAAGAGAGGAAGAAAGGAATGTGTTATTTTAAAATACAGGTTGAATTAAAATAAATTCCGAAAGTCGAGCAAGTTTTTAAACTTATTTTTCAGACTTGGATTTTTTCATGAAACATGATTTCAATGATAATCTTTTTTGGGAACAAAGGCAACAAAGCTCACAAGCAGTCAGAGAACAAAGCAGAAAGGAGAGCTCCATTAGCACATCAAGAAGGAAAAAAAAAAAAAAAACCCTCCCAAAGAAGATCCATTTGAAAAATAAATTTTGAAACTACTTGAATTTTGATCTTCTGTTACCTACACATTTGAAGATCAAAGAAAAACAGAGAGTGAGAGAGAATAATGGTCATCCACTTAATATTGACAATGGATATCAGAAGTAATGCTACTCTTTCTTGTGCATCATTGCATCGGTAGAAAAGTAAGTGTAAATACACAGAATTAAATAACTAAAAAGAATAAAGAATGTACACATCAACACAATAAGGCTCATCGGAACAAATTAAACAATTCAACAACAAATTAAAAATTGAATTGAAAAATCATAGGAATCTTGGCGAGAAATATCAAATTCAACATCAATTCACTCCACTAAACCACCAAAAAATCATAGGAATCTCGAAATGCAAGCAAAAATCAACAAGTGAGAATCAGAAAATAAGAGCTAGAGCGAGAAGGTACCGTGATAACGTTCTTCCAAGAAGACTTTGGCTGAAGCGATCGTGATAAGAGAACCTAAATACATAATTGCTGAGGTTTGAATTGAGCGAAATAGCCTGTTTGAGCTACTCTATTACTTCCTCCAGTTTCTCTAATCAACCCAAAACCACCAAAATCAAATTATGAAAACATGTGTTTACAATATATACACGTGTGTATGTACATGTAATGAAATTAGAATGCTTTCAGAAATTGCTTCCATACCTTGCACCTTAGCCTCCTGCGAAGCATCACAGCTTTCTTCCATGACCTCGATAGAAGAGTCTCCCATCTGCAAAATTCAGCATTAATAAGATAATACATGTTTCAAAATATCAAAATTCTGAATCAAGCTACGTGAAAGCGAATTATATCATACCTTTCAAGGTAGTCTCGGAAGAATGAGGGAAAAAGATCGGAGAGGATTGAGGGATTGGACTTGCAATCATCGATGAATTGCTTCAACAGGTTCAAGTTCGCGATCAGAGAGGAGATTGCAAAGACGTCGAATCATTCGATACAGAGAAGTGTGTAGAGATCAGTTAGGGTTTGAGATCAATTGATTGAGAATGCATTTGGCTTCGTAGTCTGCATTTCCATGGCTCTCACTGAACCCTAACTTCAAATAAAATGATGAATTCGAAGCTTTTGGGAAAAAATGATCATCGAGAGACAGAGAAAAATTGATCGATTGGGAGAGAAAGTGAATGACATACATTGTGAGGCCATGCAAAGTCGCGCGATCGATCAAGGCAATGCTCGAAGGACATACCTCAAACAAACTAGAACGAAGAGAGCTCGAGAGCTCGCATGCAGAGAGAGAGAGAGACTTCAAATAAAATGATGAATTCGAAGCTTTTGGGAAAAAATGATCATCGAGAGACAGAGAAAAATTGATCGATTGGGAGAGAAAGTGAATGACATACATTGTGAGGCCATGCAAAGTCGCGCGATCGATCAAGGCAATGCTCGAAGGACATACCTCAAAACAAACTAGAACGAAGAGAGCTCGAGAGGTCGCATGCAGAGAGAGAGAGAGAGAGAGAGAGAGAGAACGAGGGTGTTAGGAGCAAAAACATGTATAGATAGAATAAGAGGGAGAGTGGTGAACAGGCCTTAAAATAATGTTTTTGAGTTTTTTGTTTTTGTTATTGTAATATTTTAAATATTTTTTTATTTTTAAATTCAAATAATTTACATATATTTAGAAGGAAAATATTTTTAATTTTTTTAAAAAAATCATTAAATTCAAAAAAATATAAAATTTAATACATTTGATATATATTATATTTTTTTATAATTATTTTATTTTGTTGTATCCAAATTAGGTACATCTAAAAAGTAAAAATAAATAAATTATTAAAAGATACTAAATTATAAAATAATGTATCTAAATTATTTTTTACGTTGTCCTCAATTAGAAAAATTTAAGGTGAGAAGCTTGGTTGGAAATTATTAGCTTTTTTTAAATCAAACAAAAAAAAATTTGAAATTTTTTTTAATGAAAGTTTTCACGACATGCTAATGCATGCCGTATAAAGTTATAATATTTCAAGACATGAAATGGATGTCATCTTAAGTGAAAACATTTTACGACATATTTTTGTATGCTGTAAAAATATGCATTTTTTACGGCATGCTTTACATGGCTTAAAATTTTTTGGAGTTTTTTTTTTTTTTGTTTTTGTTAGTGTAAGTTTTTAAATATTTTAAATAATTTTTTTATTTTTTAAATTTAAATTCAAAAAAATATAAAATTTAATACATTTGATATATATTATATTTTTTTATAATTATTTTATTTTGTTGTATCTAAATTAGGCACATCTAAAATGTAAAAATAAATAAATTATTAAAAGACAAATTATAAAATAATGTATATAAATTATTTTTTACGTTGTCCTCGATTAGAAAAATTTAAGGTGAGAAGCTTGGTTGGAAATTATTAGCCTTTTTTAAATCAAAAAAAAAATTGAAATTTTTTTTAATGAAAGTTTTCACGACATGCTAATGCATGCCGTATAAAATTATAATATTTCAAGACATGAAATGGATGTCGTCTTAAGTGAAAACATTTTACGACATATTTTTGTATGCTGTAAAAATATGCATTTTTTACGGCATGCTTTTGTATGCCATAAAAAAAATCTTATTGAATTTTTTTTTAAAAAAAGTTTTCACTACATGTTAATGGATGCCGTGTAAAATTATAATATTTTACAACATAAAATGTATGTCGCCTTAAGTGCAAATATTTTACGACATATTTTTTAATAAATATATGACTTAATGACTTACATGGTATGTATGTCGTTATTGAAAAAATATTAACGGCTTGCAAAAAAAAAAAAAACAAATGTCGTAGAATGTATTAATTACGACATGCATTTGATGTATACCGTAATTGAAGCTGTAAATAGTTAGTTTTGTTATAGTGTTTAAAGCCACTTTTTGGCCCAAACTCTTCATTATTTCTTAGTTTTGTTGTAGTATTTAAAACCACTTTTTGGCCCAAACTCTTCATTATTTCTTCCTCTCTTCTCTCCCTATGCTCCATACTCAAAACCCTAGACTTCCAAACCTTGATTTCATCTATTTTTCACCAAGAATCCACCATCTTGTATTAAAGGTGAAGAACAAGAGAAGAACAACATTTTGATCGATTGAATTTTCATTTCATGAAAAGTTAATCTTGAATTTTGCTTCTTCTCGGCTTCTTGCTGTGAGATAAGAATTTTCTTTGAGTTACATATATATTTTTGCAAGTCTATGGTTGTTTTGATATTGTTTGGAGCATGTTGAATTAGGATTTGATTTTTATGAGATTGGGTTTTGCTCAAAGAAGGGTTTTTCAAATCTTTCTTCAAATCTTTTAATTTATGAACTATAAGAATGTTTTGGGGGTTTCCTAAGCAAAAACTTTTGTTTAAATGAAGAAGCCTTAATTTTGTGAAAACCCTAGGCTTGAGGAAATTTTGAGGAAAAGTTATATCGATGAAAAATATAAGTTGCGTGATAGTTGGAGTTTCTAATTGCATAAAAATTTTCAAAGAAAAACAAAAGGAGAAACCCTATTTTTCTTTTGTAAAATTCTAGATTTTGTGAGATCATGAATTGTTGAGATCCATTTTTGAGAAATGATGAGGAAATTGTTATATTTACCCCTATTGGTGAAATCCCTTGTAAGAGAGAAGTTGATATTGAGAAAATAGTAAATAGTATGTTGTTGTACTTATCATGAAAGAATGAAGATTGGAAATGATGATTTTCATGTTTGAAATTTATTTGGTTTAAAGAGGAAATAAATGTATTTGATGATGTGTATTTATATATATATATATATATCTTGGAATATTTATTATATATATATATATATATTGGGTAGAGATGTGGAACTTGATCACAACGGAAGATTGTGTAGAAAAAATGAGAAAGTATTGATAATGTCACACCCCAAATCCGGGCATGACCGGCCGTGGCCCACAGGGACTTAGCCCAAGGCACACGTAAGCCTAAACACGAATCCAATCACATCGAACAACTGAACAATAGTCCAATAATAAATAACCAAAACTCAATCCAGACATGTCACAATTATAAACGGCAAAATCAACCGTAATCAAAAACCATCCAAACTTATGGGATATAAACAACCCACATAAAAAAAATAATCCTCCTCCAATAATATTTAATTTGCACCTTAGAATTCACCACCAAAATATTTAAAGGGTTCAATTCCAAAATAATATATATATCACAGAAACTAGATTGGCATACAGTTTGGTAAATACAATCTGTTTCAAAAAGATGGTTCCACAGTTCAACACTTAAAATACTCATGTCTCGCAAGAACATGATAAACGACATTTTCCACTTAAAATAGATTATAACGTGAACACCAATAATTTTCTGGGTACCAATAAAAACAAATAATATGCCACACAGTTCTCAAGGCTATTAGCCCCGTTGGATCCAACACCGAACTAGGAGTCATCCTCAATGTGGCAACCTGGGCCTTTTCTCAAAGACGATCTGATTGAAGGTCATCTAGTTTAATGTAGGTCTTTTCCTTACAATCGTTGAGCACTAGAGTCATCACGGCCCAACCCAGATCTGTTCCCTAGTGGCTAGAGTCACCACACACAGTGGAATAATTTCCATGGACTAAATACACATATGGTCCCGATAATCAATGCACATCAATTTCGCAAAACATGGTAGTTCATCATTATAAACATGAGACCAAAACAAATAGTTTGCAGTATGCCAAGTTCACACATGTTTCAGAAATAATTTGATTCCACTGATAATATAATAATTTATCAAAGCAGTTTAGTCCTGAAACGACAATTTATTTTTCCAACAGTTCAAGGTAGGGGAACATTTATAAAAATACGTAGCATGAAACTTCTCACCTGGAACGAAATAATGTAATCCTCGAATTGAGTATAAAAGTCCAACTAGTGCCCTGAACCAAGTATGAAGACTACACGTCACTACTAATTTAAAAATACTAAAAAATAGGAACTAAGTAACCTCAACTAAAGCGCACTAACACGGCTCAACCCAACTCACCGTTACTCTTAAATATTAGCTAAGTTCATGTTCTTCAACGTTTAAAATCACCCAAGACATAGGTTCCGATTGAAACTTAATTAATTGTGACTTTAAGATAAAACAGAATTTCAAACAAGCCTTCCCAACCTATTCGATAACTTTGAAAATTACAAAACCCACTCCACGCTATTCGAAAAATTCCAATAACCTCCAGATATGATCTAATATATCCTAAGTTTCAAACCCAATTGGTTTCACTTGATTTGCTTATCAAAATAATTTTCTACAATTTATTATATCCAAACAGGTTGTTTTCTGCAGCACTTTAAAGAAATTGACGGTTCTCTTAATATACACGATCAATCAATGCAAGGCCAAAAACGTATGAAACTAGACTCGTAACCGGTTGTAATGACACTAATTTGATAATTTTTGGATTTATACCCAAAGAGAACAACACTCCCGAATTTACTATTTAAAACCAGTTTTCTGGACAGATTTGAACGCATCAGTTTATATGGATTTTGACTCCCAAAAATTATGAAAAAATTCAGATATCCAATTTAATATGTAACTGATCTACTGTAAAAATTTCAGTTCAAAATTCATCCGTTTGATATGGTTTCTTGATTTTTAAAGTTTGCGATTCTGTGCAGAATTTTTTTGAACTAAGAATTACACTCATTCTTTATACATCAATTTTACTCCTCAGATTTCTTAACAGCATATATATATACACAAAATACATACACCTACAATCTCTCCATCAATGAATTAAATAACAACATTATTAGGATAAAGAACAAAGAAAGAAGAGAAAAAAACCTAGGAGGCCACACAGCACAACACACCCAAAACTCTCCTCCTTGGCTACAACAATAATCTTGATGATTGAAAAACCCATCTCTTTCCTTCATAAACCCACGGCTGCTAGGGCTGCTAGTGTTGTGGAAAACAATTATAACAAGAGTTAGGGTTTGTGTTTATTTTATTTTATACTAGTGGTGGGCACACATAGGTCAAATAAATAGATAAATATACAAAACATAT